TTCATTTATTTTAAATACATTTAAAGTTCAAGGGTACTTGTCCTATATTTTGCCGATATTGCTATTGGCATTTAGTTCTAGTGATTAACTATTATTGTGAAACTTAAAAATACTAATTTGAGTACACTTTGCTATTATTATGGCAAACATTTTTGTATTCACCCCTACTTTCTTTGTGTGTTTACCATATAAAAAGCTCTAATGCAATTATTTAAACTTTCTAAAACTAATGCTTGTCTTTTCAAAAGAAGAAAAATATCATTTCTTAGTCCTAATGTGCTTTTAAGTCCTGTTTAACCAACTTACTTCCACAAAACATTTTACACTGCATTTAGTTTTCATTACATTTTCTAGTGAACAGCTTATTTTACATAAATGCTTTACTTTACAATATATATTTTCTCCAAAATAACTAGACAATTTAAGGTTTTTGATCCTATCAGTTTACTTTGAAAAGACATCAATAAAAATATGCTTATATTTTAATTTTTATGATTACAAAATGCTACAAGAAATTATCGTGTCATTGTTATACAAGCATTGCTAACTTTTCGATATGTATCGAAAACTTATAAAATAACATATGCAAGACAGGCAGTTTTACTTCGGCCGGGTATCTTTTATGACTTTTATGACATTTTTCTTGTTAGACTTTGAATTTCCCTATTTTAGAAACATAATTCAATATAGGTCATTCAAAGGAGTCAAACAAATGATATAATAGTTTTGGTTTCAGATCGAATTCACTACATTTACACAATAATATGTTCATTGCTTTACAAGATTTACCAATCAAATGTGATTGGTTTACAACAAAATTACCAGCATAGTCAATGACAGTGCAAAGAAAGTTAAAGTCGTTCACAACTACAATAACTTGGTCAGAGAAGGTCCAATATTAGTTTTGTAATAACACACCCTTTTTGCTGAATACTACACTTTCGTTGTCGTTATATTAAATTAAAGTATTAATTATTACAATACGAATATAAATTATCCAAATAATTTTATACTTCACTTGGTGTTTTATCTATTATTGCCATATCATAGGCGAACAATAGAAGAATAAGTAGCGCAAGATAATCAGCATTTCTATCAATTCATTTTTGAAGGCAAACCGGACACACCAACTAAATTCAGAATTGCAAAACATGGCATCACAGACAAAAGAATTATGGTGGAATGGAAACCAGGATATGACGGCGGTTATATTCAAACATTTTTTGTTTACTACAAGGGAATAGAGCATGAAGTCAAGTCATCACCTACAAATGGAAGTCCTTATTCATTTAAGTGCAAAAATTTGAAACCTCGTTCTACTTACGAAATCGTATTATGTGCAAAAAACATAAAAGGGAATGCAGATTCTTGTATTCTAAAAGATTGTGAAACGAAAGGTAAGCATGGCTCATTGTATTTGTTCTTATATTATTAAGTTATTTTATTAATAGAATGTTAGTTATTTTCAGTACTTCATTTTAATATTTATCTTTGTCTAATGTTCTTAGTAAAACAGTACATTGAAATATTTATTTCGCAGTGAATTTTTGTATTCCGTGAAGAGTCCATTTGATGAATTATTTCGGTTTTCTCTCTACGTTGACTTGGTAGAATTTTTTGTTCTTATTTTACATTTATATCGTAACATTTATTTAAATAAAAATGTGCGCGTTGAAATAATTGTTTACATTAAACGAATGCATATAAAAGTAGACTTAATGTAGTCGTCTCTGAGTTAACCGTAGATAACTCCTTATCTTTTTAGAGACAATTTTTATGCAACATGAATTCTGTTATTTTTTTATTTTTAAAATTAGTTTTCAATATGATGATAGCAATATGTAGGTCCAAGAAGCCTTAATAAATAGATGATATTTGTTTAGTTCAGTGTAAGATCGGAATATATTTCACCGAGTGAGCACCAAAAGGTATATTTCACGAGTGGCGCAGCCACGAGTGAAATATGAACTTTTGGTGTCTACAGGGTGAAATATATTTGATCTTACACTAAACTAAACAAATTTTCTTTTTATTATATGCAAAGAAATGTTTTAAAAAGACATTAAACCTAATACTTAATGAAGAGCGCGCCAAACATATAATATAACATGACGTCATTACGACGTCACGTCATTAAGTTGGTACCCTGTACTGTGCACGCTGGTATTTCACTGAAACAACGTAAGGGGCTTAAATTCAAAACAATGAAATTATCAAAGTGGTAATTTCACTGTTTCAAACAGTGAAATTACCAGTTTTATATCACTGATATATTTCTATAAACCACCGAAAAGCATGTAATAAATGCAATTTTTCGGTAACAATTTTGTTTTAAAATATCCCGTGAAAACTTCGACCAATTGCAAGCACTTATGACTTATGGCAATCGACACAGCGACGAAGAACATTCGCAGTCTTCCATTCCGCAAATGGCCTGTGTTATCTTTAGCTGTCTACTAGACCACTCGCGGATTTTTGTTCAACTAACTAGATATTACTCGAGTAGCTTTTTTGTCGTATTACGTATTCCTGGACAATCCGAATTCTTGATAAATGCTCATGTTTTGTTCCCGTTTTCCGGACGCTTTGATGACAACATCTTAAAATTAATTGTAACTACAAATACATTTACATGCATTCACAAGAATTCCATGTTTTAATGACGGACTTCTTAAACAACTAATTTGAGTACACTTTGCTATTATTATGGCAAACATTTTTTGTATTCATCCCTACTTTCTTCGGTTGATTACCATATAAGAAGCTCTTAAGTAATTATTTAAAACTTTCTAAAACTTATGCTTATGTCCTTTCAAAAGAAGAAAAATATCATTTCTTAGTCCTAATGTGCTTTTAAATTCTGTTTACCACAAAACATTTTACCACTGCATTTAGTTCTCATTACATTTTCTAGTGAACAGTTTATTTTACATAATACTTACTGATTTTTACTTTACAATACATTATTTTCTTTCCAAAATAACTAGACAACAATAAGGTTTTTAATCTTATAAGTTTACTTTTGAAAAGACATCAATATAAATATGCTTATTTTTCATTTTTATAATTACGAAATGCTACAAGAAATTACCGTATCATTGATATACAAGCATTGCTAACTTTTCGATATGTATCGAAAAACCTAGATATAACATATGCAAGTCAGGCAGTTTTACTTCGGACGGGTATCTTAGATGACTTTTATGACGTTTTTCTTGTTAGCCTTTAAATAACCCTTTTTTTAGAAACATAATTCAATATAGGTCATTTAAAGGAGTCAAACAAATGATATAATAGTTTGGGTTTCAGATCGAATTCACTACATTTACACAATAATATGTTCATTGCTTTACAAGCTTTACCAATCGAAAGTGACTGGTTTACAACACAATTACAAGTATTGTTAATGACAGTGCAAAGATAGTTAAAGTCGTTCAATAACTTTGTCAGAGAAGGTCCAATATTCATTTTGTAATAACACACCCTTTTTCCCGAATACTACAATTTTCGTTGTCGTTATATTAACCTAAAGTATTATTTATTACAATACGAATATGAATTATCCAAATGATTTTATACTTCACTGGGTGTTTTATCTATTATTGCCATATCATAGGCGAACAATAGAATAATAAGTAGCACAAGATAATCAGCAGTTCTATCAATTCATTTTTGAAGGCAAACCGGACCCACCAACTGAATTCAGAATTGCAAACGATGGCATCACAGACACAAGTATTGAAGTGGAATGGGAACCAGGATATGACGGCGGTTATAGTCAAACATTTTATGTTTACTACAACGGAGAAGAGCATGAAGTAAAGTCATTACCTACAAATGGAAGTCCTTATTCATTTAAGTGCGAAAAATTGAAACCTCGTTCTTCTTACGAAATCGTATTAAATGCAAAAAACATAAAAGGGAATGCAGAATCTTGTATTCTTAAAGGTTGTGAAACAAAAGGTAAGCATGGCTCATTGTATTCGTTCTTATATTAAAAAGTTATTTTATTAATAGAGTGTTAGTAATTTTTCAGAACTTTGTCTTTTGATCGTATTAAAACATTTATTTTGATGTGTATTCTCGTGAAGAAACCAGTTTATGAATTGTTTCGGTTGTCTCTCTAAGTTGATATGGAAGCAATTTTTTCCATATTTCACATTAATAGCATTTAGTTAAAAAAAAAAGTACGTTTTGAAATAATTGTTTACATTAAACGAATGCATGTAAAAATAGACTTAATGAAGTTGTCTCTGAGTTAGCTGTCTAAAACTACTAGGCCACCCACAGAGTTTTGTTTAATGAACAAGATATTCGAGTAGCATTATTTGTCGTATTACATCTTCGTTGACTTTCAGAATTTTTGATAAATATTCACGTGTTGTCGCCGTTTTCGTGACGCTTTGATTTCAAAGTTTTCAAAAGGAATTAAGAGTACTTTTATTAAATTAAGAGTTTACATGATTTTTCGGTGAATTCAAGACAAGATCCGTGTTGGGCACTTTTGTGTTTCATGGACTGAATCGCTGTGGCATTGTCGTGATAATATCAGGTTGACTTAATTGGTACTGAACGACATAAAATAAACAATTTTATTTCGGCCGAGTATTTTATGACATACTTCTTATTAGTATTTGAATAATCATATATTTCAGAGACATAGTTCAATTTAGATCCTTCAAAGGAGTCAAACAACTGACACAATAGTTTTGGTTTCAGATCGAATTCACTACATTTACACAATAAGATGTTCATTGCTTTTAAAACTTTACCAATCAATTGTTCTTGGTTTACATCAAAATTACCAGTATAGTTAATGACAGTGCCAAGATAATTTAATAATTTAATAGTTTGCTCAGACTAGGTCCAATGTTCATTTTTGTAATAACCTACCCTTTTTCCTGAATACTACAATTTCGTTTTCGCTATATTGATTTAAGTCCCCATGTATTACAATACCAATATATATTATCAAATTGTTTTAAAACTTCAGTAGGTGTTTTATCTATTACTGCCATATCATATGCGAAAAGTAAAATAATAGTTACACACGCAACATAATCAGCATTCTATTATATATTTTTTGAAGGCAAACCAGACCCACCAAAGAACTTCAGAATTGCAAACGATGGCATCACAGACACAATTATTGAAGTGGAATGGGAACCAGGATATGACGGCGGTTATGAACAAACATTTTATGTTTACTACAACGGAGAAGAGCATGAAGTCATATCACCTTTTATAAATGGAAGTTTTTAAATTATTAAGTGCGAAGATTTTAAACCCCGTTTTTTACTTTGAAATTAATTAAAAGGGAAAAAAAATAAAAGGGATAAATTTTATATTCTCGAAATTGTAAATAAAGGTAAACAAAAACTCTTGTATTTTTTCCTATATTATAAAGATTTAAATTAATGAATGTTAGAGTTATTTTCAGTACTTCATTTTAATATTTATCTTTGTCTTTTGATCGTAGTAAAACATTTATTTTGATGTGAATTCTCGTATAACCGTGACGAAACCATTTGATGAATTATTTCGGTTGTCTCTCTAAGTTGATATGGAAGCAATTTTTTCCATATTTTACATCAATAACATTTAGTTAAATAAGACAAGTACGTGTTGAAATAATTGTTTACATTAAACGAATGCATGTAAAAATAGACTTAATGAAGTTGTCTCTGACTTAAGCATAGATACCTCTTAAACCGCTAAAATTAACAGTAAAGAAATATATATGGGGAAAATTTCTTTTGGTCTTTTTTAACCCCACTTTTTACCCCTTTTTCTTTGAAAAACTTTAAAGACGTCCTTTTTTGGTAAGATCTGTTCGATTGCACGATGGCAAGAAATGTCGGGAAATGATATAAGTCAGAATAAATATAAAAACACAATAATGATATTTTCTAGAGGTTTCAAACAGCTTTTCAATAAATATATGAAATAAAACAAATGACAGATCGCCTTTTTGATACTTTTGCGTTCAATTGGGTTTCCCTTATAAGTTGTTTTAAAACGGGCATTTGACGATTGAAACGAACTTTCGAATAATTTACAGTTGCCGAATTCTCCGTGGAATAATCTTCTAAAGCTTTGTTTTATTATCAATTCCTATTCAAATAAAATTCCATTTTGATTAAAATAAAATAATGTAAGTAGCATTGTTTAAATCTAAAATGACAATTGATGGGGAAAAACATTGCGGGTAAAAATGAACTGAAATAAAACTATTGAGAACGAATTAAATGTTCTGTTTTCGGTTAGCATGGTTAGTAGTAGCTTATCGTATGCAAGTTAACTTAACTTAACTTAACTTAAGTTAAGTTAAGTTTGACTTCGGCCGAGTATCTTTGTAAAGATACGTCTTGTTTTAAGTTAGTTTTCAATATGATGAAAGGAATATATAGCTTCAACATGCCTTAATAAATGTAATGAGATGTGCTCGGTTATAATCTTGTTTTAAAAAATCCCAGCGAAAACTTCGACCAAACACAAATGTCTAATGGCAACCGAGACAGCGACGAAGAATATTCGCAGACTTCCATTCCTCAAATGACCTGTGTTATCTTCAGCTGTTTCAAAACGACTACGCCACTCATAGACTTGTGTCCAACTAATTAAATACTCCAGTAGCTTTTAGCTACCCTATCCAAGCTCAGGATGCTGTTCTAGGTAATTTCTCGGATGAGTTCTAACATAGGTCATCTCGGATGAAAAACCACGTCACAGGAGCTAAAAATAGAAAAATCTTGTTAACACTCTAGTGGCAACTGTTTTGATCCAAATATCCTGGAAATTGGTCTGAAAGTTTGTTGTGATGATTTCGAGTTCAAGTTTGAATATGGGTCACCTGGGGTTAAAAACTAGATCACACGGCCCAAATATCGAAATACCTTGTTAACACTCTAGTGGGCACTTTTAAGCACACCTGACCACGAAGTGGTCAAGGTGAGGTATAGTGATGGGGCTATGTCCGGTGTCCGTCGTCGTGCGTCGTTCGTCGTCAACACTTTGGTTGTTAACATTCTAGCAGCCACAGTTTTGATTGGATCATCATCAAACTTTGTCAGAATGTTTGTCACCGAGTTCGAAGATGGGTTATCTCCGGTCAAAAAATAGGTCACAGGAGCTTAAAATAGAAAAAGCTTGTTAGCACCCTAGTGGATGCCGTTTTGATTCAAATATTCTGGAAATTTGTCAGGTAGGTTGTTTGGTTGACTTCTTGGTCAAAGTAGGTTGTTTTAAAATTCGAAGATTGGTCATCTCTGGCCAAAAACTAGGTCTCAGGAGCTAAAAATAAGTCTTCATAACACTGTAGTGACTGCAGCTTTGATCCAAATATTCTGGAAATTTGTCAAGAAAGTTGTTTTGATGATTTCTAGGTCCAGTTCGAAGATTGGTTATCTCCGGTCAAAACCTATGTCACAGCAGCTAAAAATAGTAAAAAGCTTGTTAACACTCTAGTGGCTGCAGTTTTGATCCTGATTTTCTGGAAATCGGCCAGGAATGTTGTTTTGATGACTTCTTGGTCAAGTTTGAATATGGGTCCTCTCCGGTCAAACACTAGGTCACATTGCCAAAATATGGACAAACCTTTTTAACACACTAAAGGTCACATTTTTTACTCTATTGTCATCAAACTTGACCAGGATGCCTGTCTAAGACATTGATTGGATGCGGTTAATGGGTCAGGGGAGCGATCTAGGGCCGTCATGGCCCTCTTGTTTAACTCAATTGTCATCAAACTTGGTCAGGATGCTTGTCTAGGTGATTGCTCGGATGGGTCATCTCGGATGAAAAACTAGGTTACAGGAGATAAAAAAAGAAAACATTTGTTAACACTCTAGTGGGTACTCTTTTGATCCAAATATCTTGGAAATCGGTCTGAAAGTACATTTTGATGATTTATATGTCAAGTTTGAATTTGGGTCGCCTGGGTTAAAAAAAACTAGGTCACACAGCTCAATTATGGAAAATCCTTGTTAACACTCTAGTTGTCACATTTTTGCCTCAATCATCATCAAACTTTGTCAAGATGCGTGTCTATGTAATTGTTCGGATGAGTTTGATGGGTCAGGCCATCTTGGCCCTCTTGTTTGTCGTATTACGTATTCCTAGACTTCCGAATTATTCATAAATGTTTACGTTTTGTTGCCGTTTTCCGGACGCTTTGATGACATTTTCAAATTAATTAAGGTTGAAACTCCAAATACATGTACATGCATTCATAAGAATTCCGTGTTTTAATGACGGACATTTTTAGAATGACATTTCTCGGAGTTAACATCACTTTGCGGCAAATTCAAGACAAGTACTGAACGACTTAGAATATATAATATTTTACTTTAAATCAAATAGAACATATAACATGCATTTTATATAGGTATCACATTATACAATTATTGACTAGTGAGCCATTGAATATGATGTGATATTCACCGGCAGATGACATATTGACCGAGGCGATAGCCGAGGTCAATATGACTTTCTGCCGGTGAATATCACATCATATTCAATGGCTCACTAGTCAATAATTGTTTTATAATATGAATAGGTTAAGAAATTAAAAAATCACAAAAGTACAACATTATATACATGTACACATTTTGCCTCGTTGGAGCGTGGAAAAAAAGACGCACGTGTTAGGCGTGCAACGATTACGCGAACGCTGCGCATACAAAAGTAATTCAAGTTTATACTCATCATTGCGGTGTAGCCTTTAAGTATAATAGTAAAGTAACGATATTTAAATCGAGAAATATGCCATAAGGAACAAAAAGCAACAATTATTTTTAATCAACACGAGTTATTAACAGTCTGCGGTGTATGATCCTCAATCTATTTTTAGACTGGGAAAATCCAATTCAGCCAGTGAATATGATACTACACCCAATAAATATGATTTTATAAAAAGTTCTGTTGACTACTGTTTGGACCAATGAGATTGCAGCTATAGCTATATTTAGATCATATAATAGTAATGTATTTAGCATGAAAATTATCGGACTCATAATTTCATCCATCATATATACCACGATTGCATGATTCCTTTATCTTTTAACTCTTTTTGAATTAATTGTGTGAAGGATATTGTATATATTCGTTGCATAAAGTTATGCTTAATTTGCATTATGTTTACGTACAACTTGCATCCGTTTTCAAAGCTTTGAGAGATCTTCTCCTGTACAAAATCATACATTTAATTTACTTTTAAACAAATTAACCACCATTGAAATTTTGGTATTCCAACGCCTTCAATTTTGATTCACTCATGCGCACAATAACAACAGGAATAGCGCACAAAAAACACGAATCACAGAAACTGCGCGGAAAATATTGAAATCCTTCGAACAAAGACTTTAATTCATTTATGGCTTGCTCTGGCAGGGAAATGGTTAAAGAAAACTACAATTGGCTCAATTTCACAAATAGAACAACTTTTGGATTGCAGCTTCATTAATGCACGAATTAAACGTGAATTCATGATATTCGCGATTTCATCTTTACAAATTCAAGATATCAACTTAGAAAAACAACAATTACAATTTCATAAAGCTGAAATCGTGAATTTGTGAAATTGAAATCGTGAATTCGTAAAGTTGAAATCGTAAATTCCTGAAGTTTAAATCGTGATCGTGAAATTGTAGAGTTGGTTTAAAAATATTTATTTAAGCTCGATTTGCGAAATTAGTTCTTGCAACTTATAGTAATTACTTTCGAGACCGCTTCCTCGGACTAACCAGTACTGGTGTCATATGAAGAAACATGGCCGTGACCCGATTAGGGCTCGAACCCATGATCCCTTGGTTGAGAGGCAGACACCTGAACCACAAGGCCTCCGCACCCCTTAAAAATGATCGAAGCTTTAGCAGATCAATTATAGAGTCATGGCAATAGCCGCGAAAGAATTAGACATTTTAATAATCTTGACACAAAAGTGTGTCAGCTAAAATATTATGACATCCATTAAATGTTGGGTTATGTCGGGGAACACACTGTAAGCAGTCAACCTCATACCTCCAGCGGCGGATTGGAGCGTAGGACAATTAGTGAATCATGTTGCCTAAACGAAACAGAGTATCAAAATATATCAATTGAATATGAATAAATACACTTTTCATTTAAATATATTAAAAAACTGTCTATTATCTTCATTTTAATGTCCATATAGACTCTGTTAAATATGTTTTTTATCTTTTAAATTAAAGTTTTACGTATGTCCATAAAAAGCGCCAGAAAGATCAACTAAGTTAACTAAAACGATTCGGGACCCATTTGATGCTTAATGTCAACAAGGAGGATTCCATATAGATTATGTTCTCATTTTTAAAAATGACACAGAACCTGTTTGGTATTACAATATTCTTAATTCTTACAGGCTATGAAATATAAAACTTACCGTAGTAAAGGAACAATTAGATTAAGCATCCACTACATGCAGACAACTTTATACGAACTTCTACGTGCCTCAAACAAAAGAAGTCAAATTAAGTACTGGTACACTGTCAAATATGAAAGTAAAGTCCAATTTATATAGACACTTACTATTTTATAACATAGATTAAAGAAATGCTCATTAATATATGCAACACAGCAAATGATAAGCTATAAATGCTGATTAATATCACAGGATGGAAATAAAATGCAACCTTACCCTGATTCGAATTTACCTCTTCTAAATAGTGATCAGTTCTTTACCCTATCTTTACGCTATAATGAAATTTATCCTCAAATATCTTTTTGGGACACTGAAAAAATTAATTGACTTGGACCGTCATTACCCCATATTGGGCGTGAGCAAGATGTGCAGCCTGTCTGGAGAATCAATCTTTTGACCTTCTAAATACAGTTCTATCAACGGAGGTTCTAACAAAAAAGATTTTTACTGTGACATACATTTAACCCTATATTGAAAATTATCCAAACATTTTGTATTGACACAGAGATTACTTCCAATCTATAAACCATCACCCAGTCCCACATTTTGTGCTAAATATCACAGGATAAGAATAATGTGCATTCTGAACACAATTTAAACCAGGGACGCTCAAGATACAATATGGGATTGTACCAGTTGAGTTATCTGGCTGCTTACACATTTTCCCAACTTAATAAGTGGACAGTTTTATACCGTAACACGTTATATTTTAATTTGTCAAAGATTGACCTTTAATACCATTAACCCTTGATTTAAGTATAAGGATGCATTATATGCTAACCTCCAGTGGAACATTTAGTAAATGGCCAAGTATCTTTAAATTAGTCTCTAATCTTCTTTGAAATATATCAATTACCGTTTATTTATTTATTTGAATAAATACAATGAAACCGAAGACACAGCTCAATAATGTCAAAACAATAAATTTACATATCAATATTATTTCAGAAATTTAAACATTCATTGGTGTTAAAACTAAATTTGGTTTACAAACTAAATTTTAAGTACAGTTTACCACTGGACTTGTATCAGAATTTTGAAATGGAATGATTTATGAACCTTATGTACATAAACGCAAGTTTTCATGGCTAAATCAAACTGAGGCTGCAATATTTTTCAGTTTTATTGTTAAGGGTATTTTAGGGGATTTAATGTTTCTTCATTTTTAAGGAAAAGTAACCTGTGTTTCGAAATGGCTTGACTGTTCTTTTCTTCATCTTAGTTTACAGACTTAATTGTAACTGCGTATCAACACTATGGTTAAGGTTAACAGGTAATAAAATTATTAACATTCTTATTATCTATTTATTTTATTAATAAATAGAATAGAAATGATCACACAACACCTAAATGTAAGTTGATCATAAGCATGATAGCCAAAGGCGAGTACTGATAAATGTTACAGGTATACATGTCCAGGTTCATATTGAATCAGAGAAAGGATCAGACCTCAATTATATCCTAAGTATTATCATTAAATTTACATAGTATACATGTATATAAAAGTCAGTTGAAAGACTGTCAAATATCAAAGGGATTACTACATATATACATTAAATATATATTGAAAAAGATACTGTTAATAAATTAAACTATACATATATATCTGAATACAGATGATGGGACATTAAAGTATTTAAAAACAGAGTAACAGTTACTGTGATACTATATTTACCACTCTTGTTTGATAATTAGATATATGACTTACATTTACATCTATAAATGATAAAACATGCATTGGTTAGACTATGCAGAATTTAAATTGTAATTGTCTCAGACATTAATTCTCTCAACCGCCTCAGTGGTCGAGTGGTTAGAGTCGATGACTTCTAATCCAGTTACCTCTCTGGCTTGAGTTCGATCCCCGGGAGATGCTTTGGTAGTTTAGCGCGGAGGTAGGTAGTCTAGTACTGGTGTAACTCTCCAGGAACGATGGTTGGGAAACTGCCCGCCTATTTGACTGAAATACTGTTGGAAAAATGCGTAAAATGAAACAAACAAACAAACAAACTCTCAGACAAATCAAAACACCCAAGGCCTTGCTAGTCCTTATATTTTATACTTGAATTATATTTCTACAAGAATTTTAGAATTCGATATGAACTTTGAACTTTCACCAGTCCCTTATATTGAAATATAATTTGTCACTTAAGATTCCAGTATGAAGATCTTCAGGGCTCTGAACATTTGAACATTTTGGGTTTTGTTTGGGGGGGAGTGGTAAATGTTACTTATGCTAAATCCTAGTCTGCTTGAACACCACGAAACAAATCAAAAACTTTTTATCTAGAATAGTTAAATGTAGGTGGTGATAGTCAAATTTCAACCCCTGCACAGAAAGGCCATTCCTGAGTCAACTGTCCTTAAAATATAATTCGTTGCTTAAAAAGTGGGCTTCCGTGGGAACCCATTATACATTCTAGAATGCTTTAAAACGCTTTGATTATTTCTGTTTCTTTAAGTTCAACTTGAATATTTCAGAAATAATAGTAGATAAGTAGTACTCGTATTTAGATGGATTAGATAAAAGGCATTTTCAGGTCGTTGAAAATTCAGAATAAAAGAGTACCTTTAGTCTGTACACATACAATATAAATAAACTCTGATTCTTTTTAACTTAGTTAAACAGTGCTAAAAGTGTTATAATTTAAATAATTTCAAAAAAGTGTAGACTGTCATATAAGTTTCAGTCTAACAATATCCCAACATGGACAATTCCCTGACAAGAGATAGTATTCCTTTTCAGAATACCAAATGGAGTAACACACTATCATTTTTGTCAACCTCGTTAAGCAAACAATCTGTCACTTACCTCACTAAGTTTTTTGTTGGTATTATTCACTGTATGCTCACAACTTGTTCTAATGGCTAGAGCTAAATACAGTTTATATTTTTGTTGTTGTTGTTGTTGTTGTTGTTGTTAATATAACACGGAAACCTTTTATTTTATTAATCCATTGTCTGTTAATCACGGAAAACTTTGATTATAGCAAATCCATTGTCTGTTAATGCTTATAACAAAACTACATTAACATTTTTGTCCATTAAATTTGAAGGTCGCCCAGACCCACCCAAAGACTTTGCAAATGGAGTCACAGATACAAGTATTACAGTTGAATGGAAAGAAGGATTTGACGGCGGTTATGAACAAACATTTTATATAAAGGTCAACAAGAAAAAAGAGAAGAAGGTCGATTCTAAATGTAAAATTGGAAATATTTGGTCATATACGTGCCAAGGTTTGGAACCTGGTACAAAGTATAATATTGAGATAACGGCTAAGAATTGTAAGGGCTCTTCAAAACCCTGTCATCTCAAATATAGAACAGAAGGTAAGCACAGCCATTGAACTCGCTTTTCTGTTCGAAATATTGTAACAAAATACCATCGAATAATTTTCAAATTTCATTTTAATATATAGGTATTCATTTATAAATATTTGGTGTATGTTTTGCTAGTTGCAAAAGATATTGTACAACTGAACTTTTATTACAAAATGTCTACACACATTCGCCTTCCAGAATATTAATTTTACATAAACGAGGGATGATCCAGAAATTTTTATTGTAAGTTCATAAGATAAAAACTTTAGTATTGATTTGTCTAATTATTTTCCGAAGTATGCAATGCAAGAACTGAACAAAACGGAATTCTTTACTCAGTCTTAAGTATAGTACATCGACGAGTTTACTACAAGTGAAAGTGTTTTGATTCTTCTTCTGTCAGTGCATTTCCAATAACTAATGTTTCTTTAACAGATTTCGACACATTTATAATTTCATTCCAGTTATATGAATTAAATAACAGTAACTGCATTATGAGTAAATTGTAGGATTACTATTATAGTAATATTTTTATAAATAGTCTTCTTAATACAGAGCAACATTAATAAACGCAAATAAAATAGAGCCCATCTTCAGTATCTAACGATTGACAACATAAACAGTATCTTTGCTCTCTTAGGGTATTATTTCTAGCGTGTCTACCAGTTTGAATTCTGAGTAGATAACAACTTAATCTAAACAAAATGAAATAAAATACTAGTATTTGATTACTTGGCAAAAATGGTTTGGTTTCAGATCGAATTCACTACATTTACACAATAATATGTTCATTGCTTTAAAAGCTTTACCAATCAAATGTTCTTGGTTTACAACAAAATTACCAGTATAGTTAATAACAGTGCCAAGATAGTAAAAGTCGTTCATAACTTGGTCAGAGAAGGTCCAATATTTTGTAAAACATACCCTTTTTCCTGAATACTTCAATTTTCGTTGTCGCTATATAAACTTAAAGTATTAATTATTACAATACGAATATAAATTATCCAAATGATGTTATACTTCACTGGGTGTTTTATCTATTATTGCAATATCATAGGCGCACAGTAGAAGAATAAATAGCGTAACATAATCAATTATTTTTTGAAGGCAAACCGGACCCACCAACTAAATTCAGAATTGCAAAACATGGCATCACAGACAAAAGTATTATGGTGGAATGGGAACCAGGATATGACGGCGGTTTAAGTCAAACATTTTTTGTTTTCTACAAGGGAATAGAGCATGAAGTCAGGTCATCACCTACAAATGGAAGTCCTTATTCATTTAAGTGCGAAAATTTGAAACCTCGTTCTACATACACAATCGTATTATATGCAAAAAACATAAAAGGGAATGCAGATTCTTGTATTCTAAAAGATTGTAAAACGAAAGGTAAGCATGACTCATTGTATTTGTTCTTATATTATTAAGTTATTTTATTAACAGAATGTTAGTTATTTTCAGTACTTCATTTTAATATTTATCTTTGTCTAATGTTCTTAGTAAAACAGTACATTGAAATATTTATTTCGCAGTGAATTTTCGTATTCCACGAAGAGTCCATTTGATGAATTATTTCGGTTTTCTCTCTACGTTGATGTGGTAGCATTTTTTGTTCTTATTTTACATTCATATCGTAACATTTATTTAAATAAAAAATGTGCGCGTTGAAATAATTGTTTACATTAAACGAATGCATATAAAAAATAGACTTAATGTAGTTGTCTCTGAGTTAACCGTAGAAAACTACTTATCTATTTAGAGACAATTTATTCTGCAACATGAATTCTGTTAACTTTTATTTATTTTTAAAATCAGTTTTCAATATGCTGAAAGCAATAATTATATAGGTCCAAGAAGCCTAAATAAATACAATTCTTCGGTTACAATTTTGTTTTAAAATATCCCGTGAAAAATTCGACCAAGAACCAATGTCTTATGGCAATCGACACAGCGACGAAGAACATTCGCAGTCTTCCATTCCGCAAACGACCTGTGTTATCTTTAGCTGTTTAAAACGACTAGGCCATTCACAGAGTTTAGTTTAACTAACTAGATACTCGAGTAGCTTTTTTTTGTCGCATTACGTATTCCTGGACAATCCGAAATCTTGATAAATGTTCACGTTTTGTGGCCGTTTTCCGGAAGCTTAAATGACAACATTTTGAATTTAATTGTAACTACAGATACGTGTACATGCATTCACAAGAGTTTTTAAAATGACATTTTTCAGAGTTCACATCACTTTGCGGTAAATGCAAGACAAGACCCATGTTGAGCACTTTTGTGTTTCCTGGGCTGAATCGCTGTGGCTTTACCATGGTTATATCAGGTTGACTCAATTGGTACTGAACGACATAAAATAAATAATATTTTACTTTAAAACAAATGGAACTCATAACATGGATTTTATATAAGTATAACATTACAGGCCTTTTTTCCTCTATTTTGGGAAAACGCCACATGGCAAATTTGGGAAATTTGTGTCGTAAAAATTTCCAATTTGGGAAAAAAGTTATCGTGAAATTTGCCAATTGTGGAAAATATGCTAGCATTCAAGGTGTTAAAATTGTTAAAATAAATCTAAATAGATCTTACTTAAACTGTTCAGCTTTTTTATGTCATTTCAAAAATACAAGGGCAGGCTTAAATTAGTTACAAAATGTTACACTTTGATTCTTTTAAAATTTGTTTTTTTATTCATAAAACAATGATATATACGTTAATGGCTCAAATTTTTGCGACACACATACTTTGAAAATGCCGGGGTATTATTATCTCTCAATATGCCGATTCTAGATTGCGGAATATTTTCTTTTGGATTGGGAAAAAACATAATTTGAGATGGGGATAGGCCCAATTCAACCCTTGGGATAGGGGAAAACACGGCCTGATTAATTGAAGATAGCATGAAATGTTCCGGACTTTAATTTTCCGGTATTCAAGCATCCATCAGTAATTTTACCAACGATTAGCAAAGATAATTCCTATAAATCACTTAAACTCTATTGAATTCCGAATTGTGTTGAAGCAAGTTAAATATTCGTGACATAAAGTTATGCTTAATTTTCATTATGTTTACGTTCAGTGATAGCAAGACTTGCATACGTCTTTAAAGCTTTGAGACATCTCCTGATGCAAAATCATACATTAAATTTACTTTTGAAAACATAGTAACCACCATTAAACTTTTAATATTCCAACGCCTTCAATTATGATTCACGCATGCGCACAGTGACAATAGGAATAATGCACAAAAACACATATCACAGAAACTGCGCGTAAAATATTGATGACCTTCGAAGAAAGACTTTAATTAATTAAGGGCTTGCACTGGTAGGAAAATGATTCAAGAAAACCACAATTGGCTCAAACTCACGAATAGAATAACGTTTGGATCTCAGCTACATGAATTCACGATTAAGCTTCAAGAATTCAACTTCGTGAATATATGATTTCAACTTCACGAATTAACGATTTCAACAAGTAGAATCAACAACTACAATTCCATGGAGTTGAAATTGTGAATTTGCGAAGTTGATATCGTAAATGCATGAAGTTTAAATCGTGATCGTGAAATTGTAAAGTTGAAATGTCTCCATCGGTGTTTCGTAGTTGCGCGCTCTGTTCCTTATAACTTTAGGCCGGCGGTTAAAGATCCTGAATGTTGTTTTGAGGTTGTATACCGCACTTAAGTGAAATTATATATACGAGTATATGTATATATTTATGCTTATAAAACAATTTCCAAACATCAAAGAATATTTAAAATATTTACTGCAAATATTTGTGCATATAATATGTAATCATTAAACATATGCATTCATTTCTTATTGAAAAATTTGACTTAGACTTTATAGAAAATATTTTTTTTATTACATGCCTTTATCTACATTAAATGTTAGATTCGCTAATATCTTTATGTATATTGCTATTTGGAACTTACAAAATTGATAAATCTTAATTTGAGCATAATATTTATGATATAAAACCATAAAAAAATTGTGTTACAGGATCTTTGACAAAAATATAAAAAAATGATGGAAGCTTTAGCAAATCCATGATAGAGTCGTGGCAAAAGCCGCGAAAGAAATAAATAAGATATTTTAATTAATTTTACACGAAAGTGAAATTCACATCAGAACAGTAGGCCAACATATACGACCATCATTGTGATATCAAGACAACAGCCTGTCAGCTCATATATTATGACATCCATTAAATGCTGGGTCATGTCGGGGAACGTACTGTAAGCATGCTAATTTGGGAAAGTTGGGAAACCAGTCAACCTCATACTCCCCCCCTCCAGTGGCGGGGTAGAGTGTGTGGACAATTAGTGAATTATGGTCATAGCATTTTTACTTAACGAAACAGAGTATCAAAAGATATAAACTCAATATAAATTTAGTATGAATAAATGCACTTTATAAATATTTATATATTAATATTGACTGTCTAAGATCTTCATTAATTTCCATATAGACCCTGTTGGGGGGCGTCCGTGGCCGAGTGGTTTAGGTCGTTGACTTCAAACCACTTGCCCCTCACCGCTGTGGGTTCGAATCCCGACAGGGACTTTGGATTCTTTCATGTGAGGAAGCTATCCAGCTAGCTTACGGAACGTCGGTGGTTCTACTCAGGTGCACGTTCGTGCCTGAAATAATGCACGGAAGGGCACCTGAGGTCTTCCTCCACCAGTAAAGCTGGAACGTCGCGATATGACCTATACTGTGTCGATGTGACGTAAAACCTAAAACAAAAAAAAAAAATATAGACCCTGTTAAATGTATTTCTTTATCTTTAACGTTTTTCGTATCTTTTGGTATTTCCCTACAAGGCGCCAGAAAGATCAACTAAGTTTACTACATCTCACTCCTTAAAATTAACAAATAATCCAAGACGACTCGGGACCCATTTGGTGCTTAATGTCAACGAGGAGGACTCAATATAGATTCTGCTCTTATTTTTTAAAAATCGTGCAGAACCTGTTTGGTATTACAATATATCCTTAAAGCCTATGTGAAATAAAACTTATCAGTAAGATTAAGAATCCACAACATGCAGACAACTTAATGCGACCTTAAACGTGCCTCGAAAAATAGAAGTCAAATTTTGTACTGTTACACTGCCAACTATGAAAATAAAGTCGAATTTATGGACACTTAGTATTTTAAAATATAAATTAAAATAATGCTTATTAATATATGCCACACAGCAAACGATAAGCTATAAATGCTCATTTAAATCCTATAAAATCCTATATTGAAAATTAACCAAACAGTTTGTATTGGCTCAGAGATTACTTCTCAACTATAAACCATCGCTCAGTCCATATATCACAGGATAAGAATAATGTGCAGTCTGAGCAGAATTCGAACCAGGGACCCTTAAGATACAATATGGGGATTATACCAGTTGAGTTATCTGGCTGCTTACATATTTTTCCATCTAAATAAGTGAACAGTTTTATATATTTTGTTTGTCAAGATTGACGTTTCATACCAAAAAACCCTTGATTTAAGGAAAAGGATGCATCATATGTTAACCTCAAATGGAACATTTAGTAAATGGCAAAGTGCGTGATAAAACCTTTAAATTAGCCTTTAATCTACTCTGAAATATATCAATTACCGTATAATTATCTATTTAAATAAATACAATGAAACCGAAGTCAGTTCAAAATGTCAATTAGTAAAATTGATATATATAAATATTATATTTCAGAAATTTAAATATTCATTGATGTTGAAACTAAATTATGTTTACAAGCCAAATTTTAAGAACGGTTTATCACTGAACCTCTATCTGAAAAATGGAATGATTGATGAACCTTATGTATATAACCGCAACCTTCCATGGATAAATAAAACTGAGGCTGCAATAATTTTCATTTTTATTGTTTAGGGTATTTTTGGGGGTATTAAATGTTTCTTCATTTTAAGGAAAAGTAGCATGTTTTTCTTCATCTAAGTTAAAAGACATAATTCTAATTGCGTATCAACACTATGATTATGGTTAACAGGTAATAAAATTCTTAACATTCTTATTATCTTTTTATTAAATTAATACATAGAATAGAAATAATCACACAACACCCAACTGTCAGTTAATCATAAGCATGGTAGCTAAGGGCAAATAATGATAAATGTTACAGGTATACATGTCCAGGTTCATATTGAAGCAGAGAAAGGATCAGACCTCAATTAGATCCTAAGTATTATTATTAAATTTACATATTATACATGTATATAAAACAGATAAATACAGAACCCCCAAAGAAAGCCCAACACGGCAAAATTGAAAATGTTGCAGGCTCGGTTTGATTGAGCCTGTTCATGGACGGTACTGGAAAGTGCAAGTTACCGTCCACGCCCCCTAGCACCGGCTTAAGCAGAATTCAACATTTAACATGAACTGGTAAAATTTAGAATTTTGAAACATCCGCAGATGTGTTCATATGGCGGTCAGTTGAAAGATGGCCAAATATCAAAGGGATTTCTACAAATTCAATAGATATTGAAAAAGATACTGTTAATAACATACATTAAACATATACATGTATATTTGTATACAGATGATGAGACATTAAAAAATTAAAATCAGAGTAACAGTTATTGTGATGCAATGTTTACCACTCTTGTCTGATAATAAGATATATGAGACCTACATTTACATCTATTAATGATAATACATGCATTGAATACACTATGCAGGATTTATGTCTGTTAATTGTCTCGGACATTAATTCTTATAGACAAATAAAAAACCAAGGCCTTTACAGTCCTTTTTATACTTAAATTCTATTTGAACAATAATTTTAGAATTAGATATGAACTACACCAGTCCTTTAAGAAACTATTGAAATATAAAATAAGTTTATAAACCAGGTTAGCGATGAATATTGAAATCTAATCTGTCACTTAAGAGTTCAGTATGAAGACCTTAGGGCTCTCAAAATTTGAACATTTTGGGTTTTGTTCGGGGGGGGGGGGTAAATTATATTTTAGCTTAAATCCAAGTTTGCTTAAACACCACGAAACAAATCAAAAACTTTTCATCTAGAACAGTCAAATGTAGGTAAATAAAGTCAAATTTCACCCTGTACAGAAGGCATTCCTGATCAACTGTCTCAATAATAGCATTGCTTAAATGTGGCTTCCCGCTGGAATATTATATCTAGTGCCTTAAGCGCTTTGATAATTTCTGTCTTGAATATTTCAGCAATAGGTAGAAATGTAGAACTCGTATTTAGATAGATTAGATAAAAAAGGTTATTTCAGGTATTTGAAAATTCAGAATAAAAGTCTGTACACATACAATATATTAAATAAACTCTG